GATGTCAGCACAGCATATCTGTGGGACATGTAAAAAAATCCTTGGAAGGAAATCCAGAATCACATGCAACCTATGCTCTTCCAAACACCATATCTCTTGTACTAGACTAAATACAGCCTCAAAAAATGACCTCGAACTAGCAAAGTGCTTCTGGTTGTGCAATAAAGATGTAGAACTTTGGGCAGGTATCAGAAAGGTACTAAGGAGAGTAATAAATGATAAAAATAATCAAGAAAAAAAGGGAAAATGACCTCCTGGATAGTCTACCAAAAATATATAAAACATGGGAGCAAGAGATAGTGTATAAAAAAATGCAGAATGCCCATACCACAACAGATGACTCGAAACTATCTAGTCACCCACATGGCGCTAAGCCAGACCCATTCCCCAGTCATAGCACTAATACCCACAGTGCTGGTGCTGGCCCAGGCCCAGCCGCTGGCCCAGGCCCAGCCACTGGCCCAGACCCAGCTGCTGGCCAAGGCTCAGCCCCCAGCCCCAGTGCTGACTCAGACCCAGCCCCCAGCCTTACTGCCAGCCCAGACTCTACCAGGGACCCTGCCATAACCACCACTAAAACCATAAATATACAACCATCATTGCACAAGACCGTGGCCCACAGTACAGATGTTGGAGAGGAGTCTCCTCCTTCTGCTAGGGAAAGTAGATGGAATCCAGGACGGGGTAGCCCTGGCTTGGATACTGAGGATTATAGTGCAGTCCCAGAACCTGCAGAAATTGACAACACACCTACCAACAATTCTCAACCAAAGGTGAATTGATGCAAATATTATGCTTGGGGCATCTGTAAGCATGGAATATCAGGAAAAAAAATGGAACATGCAACTTTGAGTATCCCAAAAAATGTAGCGACCTCCTGTCTATAGGAGTCTGTCGTTCTTCTTCCTGTACTTTCTTTCACCCAAAAATGTGTCACTCCTCAGCTCTCCAGAAGCAGTGTTACAACATCGACTGCCCTGCATACCATCTAAAAGGGACCAGGAGGCACAAACCCCACAAGACAAACAATAGTAGCTATGACAACCCAACTCCAGGTGATTTTTTAGTGGCAGGAAACGGAAAAAAAAAAATGGAAGGGAAATTTAACAAAAATAGTCCCACCACCTTGGAGCCTTGTTGGACTGGAGGTGCAGCCAGTGGCCCCCCATGGCCCTCCAGAATTACAACAACTGATGCCAATAACAAAATCCCCCCAAAAAAACCAGAATACAACCTCGTTCATATTGCTAATGTACAGGGCTTTAAGCCATCCCCCAACAACAAAATACATTTTATCAGTGGACTTCTAGAGGAGTCTAATGCAATGTTTGCAGCTTTCACAGAGACTCACACAAAAGATCACTTTGACAGTGAAATATGGATAAGTGGTTACAACCTTTTTAGATGCGACAGAAAGAAAAGGCAACAAGGGGGGGTTGGCCTGTATGTCAAAGAGTCCCTCATCTGCACCGAGTTGCTGAACACCACAAATGAGGTATTGAAATTCTATCAATTTAAAAATCGAGAACCAAAACCTAGTCATTGTGGTTGTATAAAAGCCACCAGATGCAACCCCACAACAGTTCAAGGGAAAAGCTACTGAAAATTGATTTCTGTTTGGAAAACCTTCCAGCTCCATCCCCAAACATCTTTCTGCTTGGTGATTTTCAACCCAAGGCATCAAAATGGAAGAATGTAGCAAATAATGTTATAGCTGAAACAATCCCCGGAGGTAGCGCAGATGAAAGGTCACACACACATGAGCTACTAAGACTCTGCAAAAAACACACCTTAAGCCAGCAGATAGTGGAGCAACAAGACTAGAAAATACACTTGACCTTATCTTCACAAATAATGAGGACCTGATAAGAGACATAAGAATATCAAAAACAACAAATTCCGTTCACAACCTAATCGAAGTCCAGACGCACATGCATAGGGGTACTGATCAGCAGAATGCATGTACCTGTGAAGGTGTCTTTACAAAAAACAACTTCAACAACAAGAACATCAACTGGGACCAGGTAAACCATGTCCTAAACGAAACATGTTGGGAAGATGTTTTAAATGACATGGATCCAAACCAGTGCCTTGAAAGGATCAACTTCCTGGCAGCCGAAGCATGTTCTAGGCATATTCCCCTAAGAAAGAAGAAGAGCAGGAGTAAACTGGAGAGAGAAAGACGCTCCCCCTACAGAAGACGACGAAGAGTCACTGGCTCCTCATGGTGCTAGAATACTGATACACGAAAGGAGGCGCTGACCAGGGAAGTGGAAAACTATCGAACTTAAGTTAAATGACTCTTACAGGAACCAGGAGAGACAGGAGGAGCTTAAAACTATTAGTGAAATTGAAAGAAATTCAAAATATTTCTTTTCATACTCCAAAAACAAGGCAAGTACCACATCTAGTATCGGGCCCTTACTCAGACAGGATGGTACTTACACAGATGACAACAAGGAAACGAGTGAAATATTGAAATCCCAGTACGACTCTGTGT